CACTGGGATTGAAGGGCTCTTGTTCGATAGGTCTATTGGACACTAAACATGTCCTCCTACGCCTTACTACTGAGGAGGATTACACCAGAATTTTTTTTCGCCACACGTGGTTTATTCAGGGATCGCCGATGACGGTGTCGAAATGGACATTGGATTTCAATGTCAATCAAGAATCCTCCATTGTTCCGAAATGGGTAATGTTGTCGGGGTTGCCCCTACCTTTTTTTGACAAGAAATATTTATTCAAGCTGGACTCGTTGATTGGACGACCACTGCAAGTGGATTCAACAACCTTGAACTTGAAGTAGCCTTCGGTAGCACGGCTCCTTGTGGAAGTGGATGTTGCAAGGAGCCCTGCTTCTCGCATTTGGATAGGGGATGACGACAGTGGTCACTGGCAGAGGGTGGAGTACGAAGAATGACCAAATTTTTGCAGCTTTTGTGAGAAGGTGGGGCACTTGGAGAATGGGTGTTATAGGAAACATCCATCCCTTAAACCTGTTCGACAGAATGTTGAGGGGGAAAAGCGGGCTTCTCAGGTTTATGAACCCAAACTCCTGATGGGCAGAGGAAAAGAAGTTGCAGCAGAGTATACAGGGTTATCACAAGACACACCAGCGGCAGCGATGATTCACCAGGATGCTTTAGCAACGTACATTGGGAAGGGCTTTCACTCCTCGCCGACAGCTCCAGCAGGCACAGCTATAGGCCTAACGGATGCGTCTCCACAGCATGGGCGTGAGGATAGCAGGCTCCCTCCTACGGCACCAGCTATTGCAGTCGCGGACACCGCAAAGCCCACAGCTAATTGGAACTGCCTGGACGTCGTCGAGAATGGAGAGCTCTCGTCAATTTCGGAAGGCACCGTTGCAGACCTAGGGGGCGAGTTGCGGAAACTGACGTGGGCTGAAAAGCCTCCAGCACCTATGGTTGTTCCTTCAAGGACCGGCTCAGCCTCTAGGAGGGAGGGAGAAGAGAATAAGTGCACCACAGAGTCTACCCAGGACACGCAGGAGGTGGCTCCGGAACCAGTCGCAACGTCCAACAGATTTGCGACTTTGGAGTTACTGGATATGGAGGCGCTGGATACGGCGCGACCTCTGGGTCGTTGTTGCTCTGTAGCTGGTCGTTCTCTCTCTTCGCCGCCGCAAGCTCTGCATGGACTCCGGAGAAAGTCATTAGAAGGACCCCAAGGAGGTGGCATCCCCCTCCAAGAGCTCAAAGCATTCCAGCGGGCCGTGAACCAACAGTTGCAACAGACCCTGCTGATTGAGGATCAATTGCCGCCTGGAGCGGTGATTGATTCCAAGGATGTGGAGCTCCTTAATGCTCTCTCTAAAAAGCCAGGTCGCCCTCTTAATTACAACAAACGATTGCAGCACTTTCTGTCTCAAGCTAGAGCCTCCCTGTGTACTGATGATTAGGCCGCTTAATTTGCTAGTGTGGAACATACGGGGGGCGTCTAGGCAAGACTCTCAGTGTCTTCTCTGTAGGTTATGCCAACAAAATCAGATTCGTGTGGCAGTATTGTTGGAACCAATGACGGGACAGGAGCACTTACAAACTATTTGCCGATTCCTGCATTACACGCGAGCTCAGTCATTTTTGGAGGGAAAGATTTGGGTTTTCTGGAATGAGGACCTGCCCATTAGTTTCCGGGAAATATGGGACCAGCTAGTCCATATGTCATGGCAATGGGACAACTCCCTCTTTTCTTTTTCGGCGGTATATGCGAAGTGTACGATGGTCGGTAGACGGGTGTTGTGGGAGGCGATGCAGGAAGTTAGTAATGAAGTGTTGGGGCCTTGGATGGCGGCAGGTGACTTCAATGTCATTTCCAAGGCTAGTGAACGGTCTGGGGGGGCTCCTCCCAATGTCCGCAACATGGAGGAGTTTAATGACACATTGTTTAGCTGTGGATTGGTGGACGTTGACTTCGATGGTTCACCTTTAACTTGGACGAATGGGACGATATGGCAACGCTTGACAGGGCACTGGTCAATGAAGCTTGGTCGAATATGTTCGAAGTAACTAAAGTGTCTCACCTGGTCCGGGGAAGATCAGACCATGTCCCACTCCTGATCAGGTGCGGGCAAACGCCAAGGCATGGTTTGGCATTCTGCTTTCTCTATATTTGGGGCAAGCACCCGACCTTTTTGGAAATGGTACAAGAAGCGTGGCGAGAACCAGTACAACTAGGGGGAATGCATGGGTTTTTCAGGAGGCTGGCCAATACCAAAGCAAAACTTCGGCAATGGAATGCTCAATGTTTTGGTAACATCTCACATGCGGTGCAGTGGACCGAGAAGAGGTTGCGGCAATGCGAGTCCAAGTTTCAACTGCGACGCGATGAAGTTTCGAGGACCGAGCTCGGGGAAGCTACGACGGCATTTACATAGGTCTTGGCTATAGAAGGTGAGTTTTGGAGACAGAAGTCGGCTATAAAGTGGATTCAGATGGGGGATGCCAATACTCATTTTTTCCATTTAGTGGTCAAGCAGAAGCGAAGTGTTAATTTTATCTTCCGTATCAAAGGGGAAAGGGGTCAGTGGATTGAAGCTGAGTTGGGAATTAAGGATTCGGCTGCCCAGTTTTGCTCCAAACTCTTTTCTTCAGAGCGGGAGGGTAGGACGGCCCCGATTCTAGACTTCTTAGTACTCGGGATGACTCTGGCAAAGAATGAGATGATGGAGAAATTGCCGACGCTGGAGGAATTAAGAGAAGTCATTTTTGCTCTTTCACCTGAGAGCGCTTTGGGGCCGGATGGCTTTGGAGCCGGTTTCTACCAACAGTGTTGGGAGATTATTAGCAGGGATCTGCTGCAGGCTGTGCACGATTTTTTTAAAGGGGGTGTATTACCAAGGTGCTTCTCCAGCACTCTTATAGTTCTTATTCTGAAGGTCCCCGGGGCATTTCAATGGCAGGAATTTCGTCCCATTAGTCTCTGTAATACGAGCTCAAAGATTATCTCCAAGATTCTGGCCAACCGCATAAATCGACTGCTGCCTAGGTTGATATCGCCTTGGCAGACGGGTTTTGTGCCAGGAAGGTGTATTGTGGATAATATTTTGCTAGCCCAAGAAATGGTGTTGGAGCTCGATAGGAAACTAACCTCCCTGAACTTGATACTCAACTTGATATGGAGAAGGCGTACGATCGGGTGGAATGGAGCTTTTTAATTTTTATGTTGCGGCAATTTGGCTTTCATGAATGGGTGGTGGACTTAATCTTTCGTACGTTATCGAATAACTGGTTTTCGATTTTGATCAATGGTTCTCTGGCAGGGTTCTTTAGGTCTTCAAGGGGTGTTAAACAAGGTGACCCGTTATCTCCAGCATTATTCCTACTAGTGGCTGAATTCTTAGGCCGGGATTGCATCACCTCTTCTCTCAGGCGGAGGGTCATTTTTATGTGTCGGCAGGGTAAAAAATTCCCTACCTAGCCTTCGCGGATGACATTCTGATCTTTACAAGGTGCTCAGAAGCAGGTCTGGATGCTCTGAAGATTTTTCTTGAGAATTACCAGGCCTGTTCGGGGCAAAAGGTTAACTCGTCGAAAAGCTCCTTCATTCTGTCGCCCCGGGCATTAGAGGAGCAATGTGCATGGGTGAGCTCTAAACTGTAGTTCTCACGTCATGGCTTGCCGTTCACTTATCTTGGGGCTCCCATTTCTAAGGGAAGGAACACCTGCTCATTATTTGACAACGTCGTTTCCCGTATACGCGAGCGTGTGTTCCATTGAAGTTCGAGATTGTTATCTTCAAGGGGGAAGTTGGTGCTGCTTTGACACATCCTCACGACGATTCCATTGTATATACTGTAGGTGCTACACCTCCCAAAAGCGGTATTTATGAGGCTAGTAAGGATCTATAATTCATTTCTATGGGACAAGTCATCTGAGTCACGGAGTATTCACTGGGTGGCCTGGGAGAAGTTGTGTTACCCCCAAGAGGAGGGAGGGTTAGGGTTTCGATCCCTTGCGGATATGTGCTCGGCTTTTGACTGCAAACTATGGTGGAACTTGAGGAAAAATGATTCGGTTTGGGCAGACTTCATGCTGGCTAAGTATGTCAAGGGAACGCACCCCTCTAGGGTCCAAGTGAGTCGACCCTCCACGCTGTGGAGACGGTTGGAAAGAGTTAGGGAGACAGTGGAAGGGCGTATTCGGTGGTGTGTGGGTAAGGGGTTTATCGACTTTTGGTATGACCGGTTGCTCGCCGACCTGCCAATTGCAGATATGGTTCCTGTCTCGAATCCTCCGCATATGGTGCTAGCGAAATTTTTTGACAACATAAATTGGAAGGCAAAGCGGTTGAGGGAATGGGTGCCGAAGGAGCCAGTATGGCAAATTCTTGAGGTTAGCTTTTTTCCGAACCAGGAGGACTGCATAGTTTGGGTAGGTTCGGCTGCAGGGGATTTTTCAGTCAAGGCTGCGTGGGAGGCCATTAGACAGAAACGTAGCACCTCACGTGTGGATACTTTTGTTTGGAATAGTACGGTCCCTATCAAGATTTCTTTCTTCGTCTGGAAGCTACTTCGGGGGTGGGTGCCCTTGGAGATGGTCCTGAAGAAGAGAGGCTTCTACTTGGGCTCGCGTTGTTCCTACTGTCGCGCGGTGGAGGAATCCATTTTACATGTGTTTGTGACTGGTCCGGTGGCGCAGGAGCTTTGGGGACATTTTTGGAGACGATTCTGGATTTTGGACTGCCCAACCTCATTGGTCTCAGCAACACTATCTCGTGGTTTTACTCGACTTCTCTGGTGGTACTTGGTCATATTCGCACAATTATCCCTCTACTCGTGCTATGGTTCTTATGGAAGAGGAGGAATAAAGAAAGGCATGAAGGACTTTCTGGTCAGGCTCGAGAGGTTGTTTTCATGGTTGAGCAGTTTATTGACCAGCTGGGGAGGGCTAGGATGCTATCAGGGGCCGCCTTTAGGGGGGACCTGGAGGATCCCTAGTCTCGGTGGACGGTCTCTGGGAAACTGAAGTGCAGAGTGATGACAATCTCTTGGAGGAGACCCCCGTCGCAGTGGCTCATGCTCAATACGGATGCCAGTGTCAGCCACGGCCGGGCTTACGGGGGAGGTTTGGTGTGCGACTCTAATGGCAGGCTAATCCTCGCTTTCTACAAGGAGTTTGGTGAGTTGGATGTACTATCGGCAGAGAGCTCCTCACTGTTGTATGGACTCCAGCGGTGCTCGGAAGGATTCACGGGGCGTCTACTGGTGCAGGTGGACTCGGAAAATCTAGTTCGATTGCTCAAGTCATCAGCTATAGCCAAGTGGCCGCTCTGCAACACGATCAGGAGCATACGAGCATTGCTTCTCCGCTTTTCGGCCTCGGTCCAACATATATATAGGGAGGCGAATTCCTCTGCTGATATGCTATCTAAGCTGAGGCTTCCATCGGAGTTATTTTGTACCTTTCAATACCAACTTCCAGGGAGGATTCGGGCGGCTCTGAGTCTGGATTGTCGAGAGTTTTGCTATGTACGCATGCAGGTGGACAAAGGGTAGTCGTGTAGTGATGGGGGGTGAACGGTTTGTGTACTCGAACTTATTGTAATTGCTGGTTATGAATAAAGGAAAGGGCTAGCATCCCCACCCATTGCCGGTTTTGCCAAAAAAAATAAAAAATAAAAAAAAGTTCTTTGGAAATATTAAAATTTTCATCATATAAAGTATTAAATTAGTCCATTGCATGTGTTATTTTGTACATATATATTTATATAAATTATTTTTAAAAAATTTTTTCCTTTAAACACTGAAAACAATGTGCACTTTAAGTGTTATGGGGACTTCAAATTATATGATGATATACGATTTATTTTATGTTGGAGATGTATGGACTTGTTATTAGAAATGTGATTGTGGTTTGAAGTTATTGAAAATTGAGTTTGCTAGTGGGGAGTTTCGCCTATTTATAATGGGAGACTCTGCCAAATTTTTTTGAAAATCTTGTCCAAAATTACAAAATTGCCCCATATTTTTTCAAAATATTTCAATTTGGTCCAATAGGGAGCAAGTTCCATACCATTAGTGATTCAAATTCTGTTATTTTGAAGTAAATATATGTACCTAGAAAAATTCGTTCCAAAATTAACTTGGAAATAACTATTATGTGATTAAGATTTTGCTTTTAGAAAATTATATCTTATAAAGTGGAGGAATTTATGCTTAAAATTTGCAATGTTTAATGAAATTTCTTTTTGTTGCTTGATTTTACAAAGTTGAGTGATAAATGTGGTCATTAATGTACTCTTCTTATGATTATGAATTTGTTGAGAGGGAGGTGTTTGTTTGGTAGAAAATAAGGGAGAAAAGGCAAAAAAAGAGAAAAAGGAAAGAAGAAAAGAATCAGAGTGGTCTACTTCAATGATTCTTGTACTTAGTAATTGGGAGTTCTCATCTAAAAGTTTCAATTTTCATGCAAAACAGTACTTGAATTAAGAGTATGCATAACAACTTAACTATGCAAAGTGTTGAGTAATCGGGAATGTTCATTTAAAAATGCCAATCTTCACATCAAAAGGCACTTTCACAAGTTAAGTAAGTATTTGTTAAGCATATGAATAATTCTCTCTTTGAATTTGAGAAAAAGATGATCATGGGATTAGGAAGTTATTTATTGACTATATGATTCACTTGTTTGTGAAATTGTGATTGGAGGAGAAATTGAGTTGAACTTATTGAAATCATGGTATACTATCTCTCATTTACTTAATATTATTAGTACTTGAGGAAGAATGAATGATTACATAATAGTTATTTACTTAAGTTTTGAGGAATTGAATTTCAAGGTTGCATGCATGTTATTTCAAACTTTTGGATCATTGAGGACTTGTATTTCTTATTGCTCGAGGACAACCAGTGATTCAAATATGGGGGAATTTGAAGTGTTTTATTTTACTTATTTTTAGTGTGTTTTATTACTTAACTTCTGGTGTGTTTTTAGGATAAAAGGATGAAAATTGGCTCCTTTATACAATTGTTTCTTCAAGTTGTTAATTTAGCTACAATTTGCATTTGAACAAATTAATGTACAAGATTGTTTGGTTCTTGTAGGTTTTGGTATTTCAGAGATTGATTTGAATCAAGTGAAGTTGATGAAATGCATTAGAGGAGATTTGGAGATGATTTGGTCTTGAAATCAGGTTAAACTTGAAGAAAATTCAGAAACAAGAACCTCAATGAGGAAAACATGGAACATGCCTCATATAGATCTCATTCTAAGTTCCAAATTCAACAGTTTGAGGAAAGACATGAATCTGAAATGTGAGCCATACCTCATGGATCTCTGAAGCTTGTGTTTCAACTTCATAAGAAGTAGGGGAATCGATCTGTGAGGTACATATCGTAGATCTAGGTCACGGATCTCTGTTGTGGCTATGCAAATTTCTTTGTAACTTGTAGACTTTTAACACAACTTTTCAGCTTATTTTCCAGCACAAATTTCGGATGCCTTCTGCACATGTCTTAAAGAAGCAATTTTGTTCCTATGTCATGAAGCAAATTAGTTAAGGTTTCTCTTCTATAAATACATAGTATTAGGAATTCAAGAGGAGACTCAGAGAAAATTTTGTAAGGTTGGAGGCATTTTTGAGAAGAGCCTTGAGAGTGGCAGTTGAGTAGAAGAAAACTTTTATTCTTGGGAAAGTGATGAACAAGTGTAAAAGGAAACTTGAGGAATTTTATTTCAAGATATTGAACAAGATTTCTTCATCCTTGCTCTTTACATTCTTGTGTTCATTGATGCCTTATTACATGAGTTTATTGTGCTTAAACGTATTTAACTTTATGTCTAGCTAAACTATTTTCTCCTAGGGTGAAGATGAACTTGCTTTTATCATGATATGAAGTAATTTTGATTGATTTTTGCTATCTTATGAATTTTTTAGTTCATGAATTTATGCTCATATTTGTAGTTGCTTGATCACCAATTATGAATCATTTAATCATTTGTTGAGCATTGAAGATTTCCATACAAGAGTAGACCGATATTCATGGATCCTGAAGAACATGTTCACATTGTGTAGGAGATGTATTTAGGTGGATCTAAACTAAACTACATAGATCTTCATAAACTAATATCAAATAATTGTGAAAGCATTATTCAAATAAAATTGGACAATATATCCTTAACAAGTCATGAGTTAATGGCCTAAATCAATTGGATTATTTCTTAATCTTAAATAACAAGGGATTTGTAAACCCTAGGAAGTTCTTCTGCTAAATTCTCCATTGTCAATTTCATTGTTTCTATTAATTTAATTGGTATTTTTGCTTTTACTTGATTTCTTGGTTGTTTAGATAATAGAGCGAGTTTAAAAAGCTATAGTAATTACCCAATATCTTAGGGGTCAACCCTAATTATCATTACACTCATTGTCCTTTATACTTGCAAAATATAGAGTAAATGGATTTAATTGAATTGATAATTAGGAATTTTAACTTGAAAGCCTAACTCACGTCCGGAATACTACTTTCTTGCATAGAATTTTAAGGGGACATACTACCAAGAATATGTACTATGTTTAGTTACAAATTAAGGAAATACTGTGACTCAATATGATTAGGTGAAAGAGGTTCCAATTTAGTATTATAATACTCATTTTAGTAAGTTGTATCCTTTAATCCTAACAAAGTAAGCAAATTTAAACAACTACTCTCTTATTCTCTCTCAAAAGAACATCAACAAATGTTACAAATTCCATTGATAGATGATGAGGTCAAGCAACCTATTTTTAGAATAAAAAATGGAAAGTACTTGGCTGAAATGGGTTTACTGTTGAAATTTTCAAAGGTAGTTGGGAATTAGTTGGTCAAGAAGTTATTGACGCATTGAAAATTTTTTTAAATAGAATTATATATTTTATCCCCTCAACAGTACTTCTTTGACATTGATTCCAAAGGTAGAGGATGCTCTACAGATGAAAGGCTATAGGCCTATATCTTATTATAATGCACTTTATAAATGTGTTGTTGCTATGCAAACTACTAGACTAAGGAGAGTACTACCTAAGTTTTTGCCACTTAAAGTGCATTTGTGAAGGGTAAACAATATCTTGTTAATGCATGAGTTGGCGCAAGGGTACTACAGAAGTGGGGGCAAACTAAGGGTTGTGATTAAAGCGGATCCAATGAAAGCCTATTGATCGACAATTTCCTATAAACGCATAAGGTCGAACGTAGTAATAAATCACCTAGAGTAGTCCAGGGATCATACCCATAGGGAAGGATTAATTTCCTACTTTAATTTTCGAGTATGAAAGATTGAATCTATAAAGAATTTATATTATCAATGAAAAGCTAGTGGTTGATTTAATTAAACTAATAAGGAGTGAAAAAACAATAGTTGTGCAAGTTTAGGGTTCAGGTTTTAATCAAGAGTTCGAATTAATTCCCCAATTATTTTTCTTGTCAAGTTATGAACGCATCACACAATTGTATTCTAGATCATTTCTCGATATATCTAACATGTGCTCAATTAACTTTTATGTCTTTCTCGAGATGACAAATGTTAACTAAACCCTTGAAGAGCCTAGGTGATATTTATGTATCATACAAATCGTAACCTATTCTCGTGATTATATTAAATATAATTATCTATCTAGTGCACGGTTGTATCTCATTTCTCAATTCAATACAAACCCAAAAGTCATGTTCATGGTGATCAAGCATAAACATGCAATTAAGAGCTAGATAGATAAATCATGGCAAAAAACAAGAATTACAATTGAAAGAATAAATCAAATCTCCTTCATAAAAACCCTAACCTTAGAAAAAATTTAATGCAACATGATGAAAGAATTAAACCATGAATTCAAGAAGTAATACAAAGGAAAATAGTTGAGGACAAGGAACTTCTCAGTGCTTTGCTCCAACTTCTCCCTTGTGCTCCTTGTCCCTCTTTTCTCATGTTTGGTCTTAATCTCCAAGAAAAGCTACGGGAAAAGATGAAAGAATATGTTGCCCTGGGTAAAACTAATGTTTTTCCTCCTTAAAACGACCAAAACATCTCCTATTTATAGCTATTGCACGATGCCATCGAATGCTCCTCAGAATAGGTTTCTTATTGCAGATGAAAAGCATGCGCGACTGATATCCAACGAAGACTGGCGCCAGTCATTGAGTTTCAATAGTGATATCTAGCTTTTGGTGATGTCCAACACCGGTCATTGATGCAATTTTCAGAAATTCTTCTATTGTCCCTCCAACTTTGAATTCTTCTCATCTTTTCCATCCAATTCCTACAATTACTCAACTCAATCCCTGTGACATCAATATAACCTCAACTGAGCAGCTTTTCGTCCAATTTAAATACATAGAGCATGAATATGACTCAAGAATACCTAATAAATTCTTATAATCTTCTCTCTATCACCTATGATACTGTTGGCGGGGAATTCTTATTTGCTGCTAAGCATACAATAGGACTTCTTGATCAATTTGTGAAGTGGATTGTGATGAGTATAACTACAGTTCAGTTCTCTATTAAAATGAATAATATACTAACT